ACATATCAGAGGAAGTCAAAGGGGAAGAATAACTCTAGTGGAAATACTTGAACCAGTCTAGAAGTTTACCCTTCAGTCCATAGCCGTAAGGAACAGTATTTTGTGATCTTTTGTAATGATTGGGATCTTTTGGGTAGTATGGGCGATGTGTCAGTCACTGAAGGTATTAGTAGTCTTTTGTTAGGAAGGGAGGGCTAAGAAGAAGAAGAAGGAGACTGGAATAGTAAGGAGAGATTGGCCTCTCGAATGCCAATGGGAGTGAGACTCTTGTATGGAAGCTTGTAATCTGTGTTGCTAGAGTGTTTTATCATCTTCTAGGGGAAATAGGGTTTTGGGCCAGAATCAGAGTTCCCATGTACATCTGATTCGGTTATTCATCTCATTAATATCAAAACCTAAGTATTTTCCTCTCATATTAATTGCTGTTGCTGTCTTATTTATTACTCTTTGCTGTGATTCTGGTTTGGGACACATTATATTATCACCTGTGAGAATAATATCATCTACATAGATGATTAGAACTGCTATCTTAAATCATTTATGATCTGATTGACATTGAGTATACCCATTCTTTTTAATTGCTTTAGTAAAGCGTTCAAACTAAGCCCATGGAGACTTCTTCAGCTTGCACACCTTACCTTTATTTCTATCAGTCTTAAAACTAGGAGGAATCACCATTTAGAAAGGCATTTTTCACATGTAGTCAATGAAGAGACCAATTGAGATTTGTAATAAGAGAAAGAAGTACCTTGACGATATTAAACTTTGCTATTGAAGCAAAGGTTTCTTGATAATGAATTCTATCAATTTGTGTAAAACCCTAAGCTATGAGATGAGCCTTATACTTGTTTAGACTCCTATCTGGGTCATATTTGTTTGTGAGAACCCATCTGCAACTAACTGTAGTTTTACCTTTGGGTAGCTCTATCAACTCCCAATTTTTATTTTTCTTCAAAGTCCCCATTTCATCAAGGACAACAATTCTCCAACTAGGGATCTATAATGCCTCATACACATCTTTTCGTATGGATTCAGCTGACATGCTAGCTGTAAAAGGAGATAGCTGTTTATGAGAGACAAAATTACTAATTGGATGCTTGGTGGTACAAGATCTTACCCTTTTTTGCAAAGCAATAGGCCAACCAAGATCATTAGACTATAGATTTGACGATGGAAAAGATGATTTGTGTGGTGTAATGTTCTGACAGCAAGTTGTAAAATCTCCTCGCTCTAAACCCAATTAACAACAGACACCATGGTAATCAAGGGATTATCCCTTAAGGAGATTTTTAAGTTGTAATTTCAAAATAAAGGGATCCTAAGTTTTCATAATAAAAAATGAGTTAAAACCATTCATAAACTCTTTAATTAGAGTAAAAACAAGTTATGAAAATATGAGATACCTCAAAGGAGTTGAAAACAGTTAAAAAAACCTCATTGTGCTAGAAAACAGAGCAATGCATCATAGCTTGTGCATTCTGTGTTGTGGTGTGTTGCCCTCTGTGCCACGCGCCGCGGCTTAGGAGCCATACGCCGCAAAGTGTTGCATGTTTTCTTGATAGCAAATTCTACTGTCATTTGACAGCAAATTTGAGTAATTTTTGACGTGCCCCATTTTTTTATCCGATGTCTGAATGACATGATTTAGGTGTCTACAATTCTCTTGAATTAGTTAATGGCATGGGTTTTATTTTCATTACAAGTCACATTAGGAAGTTGGATATCCAAACACAACTTTACAACTTTTCACAACAAAAAGTTGTCCAAAATCCAAAATAAGTGTCAAAAGCCACTCTTGACACCCAGATTATATCCATTAGAGCTAGGACTACTTGTACAACAGTCCACATGCACAATTACATCAATTTATCACAAATTCACCCCTCAACTCCTTTTATACCAAAAACAGAAGGGGGGGTTTTTATCAATCATATCATGCTTGAAATAACTTTACTACACTTGCACTAATATTTTAACTCTATTAACATTTACAACTTTTCATAAACCACAACTCAGGGCCCAAAATATAAAGCAAACACTTCCAACAACTTTATAGTGCAAGTGTACTCAGAACGCATCTTAGAATTGGCAATGTAAATCTATTACACAAAAAAAAAATTAAACATAGAGGCATACAATAGGAATTCACTGCTTCCTAAGCCTCCTCACCTTTATCCCTCTTTACACTAGAGTGCTTGTAAAATATTAAATGAAAGGGGGTGAGTCTAGTCATTTTGTAACCACGATAAAGCTTATCCTATGCAGTTATATCTTAATTGTAATAAACACGTGGATATGAAACATGCTTGAACACATAGCACCCAACTTCTCATTATCATCTAGCTCATTTTCATTTGTGCACAGGGTACATTGTCAGACACTCAGACACGTGACCATGGCTCGATATATTAACTTGACTTGCCACAACTTAATCATGCAGCCCGTCTTACAATCACATAAGCAATGATCAACTATCCTTATGCTCTCCTTATTTTCTTCAACTGAAACCATTGGTTATAACACCAAAGATCGCAAGGCTCACTCTCGGATCACAGTTTCTCGCGCTCTCAAATCTCTAGGGTATCATATACTCTAAGCAATTATCCTTGATAAACTGATAGAGATAGCTAGGTTCTAGTCCTTCGACAAACTATGAGACAAGGCTATACTCCTGTGTACTAAAGGCCAACCGAAATACCATATGGATTTTTAACTATTTCTATCCTAGGCAAACTCCTTCTTGCAGATTATGCCATGTACAATGCCCACTATTTGACAAATCTTATTATTCATTATTAACATGTTGGACTTATGATAAAACACTACTCAAGTGGGCATCAAGTCTCATTTTTACATGTATCACATAATTCCATCATTTTCGATCTCATCATATTTATTTCTTTATCAAAATCATCATCATTATTCATTATTATCAAGTTGCAAATTGCACTTCCTTTCAAAAGTACTTTGGCAACTTTACAATTCATTTAAAAGCAAACATGTAAGCACAAATTTTTATAGCATGTTACACATGTTCACAAGTCACAATTCATATGTTAAACACACATTTCACATTGTATTGTAATTAACGTACAACCACTAGAAGTAGGGTTTTTTTCAATTATCTAAAACTTTTGAAAGGTCAAAAGTTTACCCCTCATTATTAAGCTTCCAAACTTGATCTTCCAAGTCATTATGGTGCCCAAATGCTTAATCTATAATCCATAAATTTTTAATCTCAATAACATTGTCAAGAATAAGGTTTCAATTCTCACACTTTCACTGATAATGCCTATATTTCTCACTTTTGCACATACCCATTGGGTTTATTAACTCTCTTTAGTCCCCATTAACATTAATGAGCCATTAAACTCTCATTAATGACATTACAACTCTTCTAACCCTTATTAATGTCATTTTCGGATAGTAATGACATTTACCAGCCAAAGATGTCAAAACTTTATTTAAGGTTAAATACTCCAATTAATTCCCATTAATTTTATTTGAGTCAATAGATTTGGACCAATAACTTATATGGACCAAAAATCATCTCTCATTATCAAACCCTAACTAAAAACTCCATAAATGTGGGATAGGGAGGAATGGAGTATATAATACATACCTTACTTGTTTCTAGCTCTAAAATGTCTCAAGTACCCTCCAAGCATGAACCCTAGCAGAGCTTGGTCGTTTGCTCTTCATTCTCTCCCTTTTCTCTTCTTCAGTTTTTTGTCAACTCATGACTTAAGACTGTAGAAAATGGGCTGTGCACTGTGATGGACGTATTTCACGCCGCATCATGTAGCACAGACACAATTCCTTCACATTTTATCCTTCTTTCGATACCCGGGAGGGCCCAACTTCACTTCGAACTAATAATTAGGGTTGAAACACAACCAAAAATCAATCACTTGACCTTCCTGGCCACACACCATCTCAATTTACTTAATTATCATAATCAAGCTTAGTTAATTCGGGGATTAAAATTCAGGATGTTATATGTGATGTGTGTTGACTATTTGCACAAGATTGTTGTTTTGGAGCTTGTATTTGCTTCTTTCTAGCACTATCATCATTTTGGATAGATCCATCGTCATTTATCCTCAAATCTGGGGTTTGGTATTTAGATGGTTCTTAAGGCTAGTCAAGGGTAATGTCTAAAAGTAGGAAGGTTGTGCAAAGGTTGGTTTTTCAGCTGAAAGACTACTTTGAGATTCGAAAAATGGCCAATTCTGACAACTACACTTCTCCTAAATGGGTATTTTGGAGTAATATGGTTGCTTTTTGAGGAAAGTGACATCATTAGAAGCAAAGTTCCTTCGAGTTGGTAGGTGGTAGCATTTGTAACCCTTTTGTGTGTGTGAATACGCAATAAACATGCATTTAGTGGCTTGAGCTTCTAACTTGGACCCTTGGAAAGCATGAACAAAGGCTATGCAAAATTTTAGGGGAAAAGAATGCATTAATTTGGATAAAGGATATTTTTCAAGGAAAACCTAATGAGGGGTATGAAAACTTAGTGGTTTGGAAGATGATTGACTAATAAGATAAGTAGAGGTTAAAACAGTATCTCCTCAAAATCGGCTACATGCATTAGATGCAAGAAGAGATCAAGTCATATCAAGGATTTGCTAACTTTTTCTTTCAGAAATACTATTTTGTTGAGGTGTGTTGGGACAAGAACTCTTGTGATGTATACCATGTAAGATTAGGTAGTCATGAAGGTAGAGTTAAAATACTCTTGGCCATTATTAGTTCCAAGAACTTTGATTTTGGTTTGAAATTGATTTTTGATCATAGCATGAAATTTCTTGAAGATATGTGGGACTTTACATTTTTTTTTTAAAAGGTATACCCAAGTTAAATGTGTGTGCTTAGCTATTAGTGCTAGTGATTCATAAAGGTCCCCAAACATCATTATGAATAAGGTTGAATGGTTGTGTGGGTTTGTAAGGGTGGGAAGGATAATTGTTGCATGTGGTTTGGCTAATGAATAGACTTCACAATGAAAGAAAGATAAATCTTTATTGGAAAATTAAGGATACAATTTTTGAAAGTACTTAAGACTAGGATGTCCAAAACATTTATATAACAATTTTATTTCAAGCAAACTAGACTCTAGAAAATAATCATTTGATCAAAAGTTAGCCTCACTTGTGAGTAGTAAGCCTTCCAACAAAAATCAAATTACAAGCCAATTTTAGAACAAATAAGACATTGTCAAGCACATCATCTAATAATACAATAGTGCCAATTTGAGTAACATCTACACATGAATCATCGGCAATTTTTACTACCCATCTCTCCGTTCAGGGTCCAAGTTCTTTAAATAATGACTGATCCCCTCTTATATGGTTAGTTGCACTTGAATCTACTATCCATTGGTTTGAATGTCAAGCAAAAGGTAAAGAAACCAAAATCATACTTAATTTAGTGGCAATTAAACCAATGGCAGTGCTCACTCGAGGAGATTGTTTATAATTTATGAAGGAGCTTTTGAATTTGATCAATTTGCTCATTTAATTGATTAAAATCGAGTTTCTCATCTTCTTGGTTAATAGCATAAGGGTCCTTTTGCCTTTTTTGCCTTTTTTATCTAAAGAGTCCTGTGCATGACCTTTCTTGTTGCAATGATCACATATTAAATGTCTGTTCTTTCTGCCTTTGCCATCATTAGTGGGGATGTCCACGAGTTGCCATGGCTTAGGCTTCTCTAGAGGGAGATGTAGTGAACCATTGGTTATACGTTTGTGACTTTCCTTGCTTTTGATTATAGCAAAAGACCTCCCGGAATAGAGGAAGTTGTGGATGACTTAACACTATAGTATTGGAAGCAGAGGAATAAAGCTTGTGAGTGGCCTCACAGATTTCACGAGCAGTTTATTAAAGAAGAAAGTTGCATCCAATTTCCAGGGTCATCAACTTCACTAACCAAGACGTGACTATTTTTAGTGCTCCATGTAGTGTACTTCACATCAGAAGGTACAAATACTATTGCTCGACCATCTAGAAACTCCTTGCCACAGCCATGAATGAATAAGAGAAAAGACTAGGACCTTTATAAATAATTTTCCTCATCCAGTTTGTGAGCAGTGATGAGACTCAAAAGGTCTCCAAAAGTGTGCGACAAGCTGAATTAGGTTTAGCTATTGTAGTGTTAAAAGCTCGATACTTAATGAATTGAAGGTTTCGATCAATCATGGATCTAATACCATGATATTAATTGAGGAAAAAAATCATCTTAGTTCATTATTTTATAAATCAAGGTGCTTAGTACTCATAGAGAAGATTAGGCTTATAAGGACAAATAAATCAGAATAAAATTTGAACTAATATTTGATTTGAATTTCAAATCAGATCCTAATCCTCTAAATTAGGAAAATTAAAAACAATATCATTAAAAATTATTCTATAAATTAGATATTGGGAAAATAAAAATAATATCATTAAAAATTATTCTAAGATATAAATTAGATATTGAGCCTAGGCTCGAAGCCTTCTAATAGATGAGAGAGCTTGTGCTCTCTGTCCATCCACAAAGGTGACAGCCTCTGTTCGATTTTTGGCCATATATGCACATGAAATAAACTTGGGGATGGCACGTGGGAGATCAAGTAATTGATGAGATAGGACCTTCCTTACCTGTTTGAGGCTACAATTGTGTTATAGTTTAGTAGGTTGTTTTGATCTTTGTTGCGTATCATTTATTGTTGGTTCAATTTGTTTTGAATGTTGTATTCTTTTGCTTTATGTGCTCATGATTAGATTTGATTGTGCAAATTATAAGTGCAAAATTCATTAAAAGAGAGGAGAATTATAACATCTTCCTCCTGAGACTTTTGGACATTTTGTCCATGTCCATTTGCAAACATGATAGAGAGGGATGGTTGTCGATGAACACCATCATGACAAGTCATTATACGAGCATCATCAATTGCATTTTTAAGGTTTTAAATCATTCCAAATTGTCCCTCACTTTTGAATTTGCTCTTTGCACTATAGTTCAAAGTTCTTAAGGGTTTGAGGTAGGGTTGAGCAAATGACCCATGCCCCTCCTAACCCATTTGTACGCTGTCAAATTGGGCGGGCACTAACCTACATGTGAAAATGTGAGGGGCGACCATTAGGCATTATGTTTTGTTATATGAAATGGCGAAACTTGTAAACTTCCTTCTTGTTCATCTCCCCTTTCAGTTCCTCAATCTATCCTTTCTGCCCTACTGATTGCCTCGTTTCTCATCTCCACTTGTCCAAAGTCAAATAGTCCTTCCTATCATTCTTGCTCCATCGTTCACCTTTTGCTCCTCTCCCAAGTCTATTGCAGTTCACAACAGAGGAAAAGAGTGAGAAAAGGAGAAAAACAGATAGGGGCAATGGGAGATATTTAAGGGTGTGCTAGGGTGAGTTTTTAGGCATTTTGAAGGTGATTCTAGCTTGGTTTCATCTTGGTAAGTCTTTCATTTCCTCTCTTTTTCCTTCTACATGATTTGATTCTAGTTTTGGGGTTGGATGATGAATTTTCGGGCCTTAAGGGCGTAGATCTAAACCCAATGGTTCTAGTGGGACTAATAGGAGTTCTTTAAACTATTTAAACTTAGTTTTGAGAATTTTACAAGATTACGAGGCTGGGGATGGGGTTTTGAACGAACCCTATCCACTTTGAAGAAGTTTTTGTGTTGTTGGGTGTTATGTTAATGGTTGTTTAAGATAAAGAGGCAATAAAATTATAGGGAGTTGATGGATTCTTTCGCTTTGAATTTGAATTTGTGATTTTGGAATTGAAGTGATGGAAGTGAGAGTTAGGAGTTTTAGATGGCATTCAAGTTCATATTTAATAATATTGCTTGTTGAATTGTGGTTTAGTGCTTATCACATAGTTTGGAGCTCAATCTAAGCTCTAGAAGCAAGTATTTAGCGAGGTAACTTTTGAATTCTCAAAGTTTGAGGTAATTAAGGGATCTCTAACTTGTACTTTTGCTTGTTAGATTCATTTAGGCTATTTTGTGAATATGATTAATGTAAATTTATTCGAATATAAACTTATTGTTTTAGAAAATACATGCAAGTTTGGCTTGCTTGAATTTTCATTAAAGCAAACTATTTTCAAAATGTTATATCCTATTAAATGTTTGTATTATGAAATTATGAAGTTTTGTATATATGCTTAAGGTCATTTAACTATGTTGTTATATGCATCCTTGGATAATTGCATTATGCTATGAGTTTTAAAATGTATGATGATGTAATGTGCATGGTAACATGATCATATTTTGGGCGGGATGATGCCCTAAGAGTAATAGTGCTTACTTTCCATGTGGAATTGTATAACAATCATCATGAGTAGCCTTAGTGTTTTCATTTTTTTTCGAGTTAGGTCTTCCTGAATCTCACCTAGGAATTGGTGTAAGCATAAGTTGTCCAAACCCTATCCTTAAATAGGTATACAGTAGGACATGTGACACCTCATCAGATTCGAGAGTTGGGGCAATCTATGGTTTAAGATTGAGTGAGGCATCTTTAGTCAAGTGTCTCCTTATGATTGGTGAGTTTGGACTAGTCTATTTACATTGACTTAGTCATATTGAATTGTCAGTCCATGGATTCAGTTGGTAGTATATGGAGGAGATAAGGTGCTGTTAATCATGCATTTATAGCATCGTAGGATGTGATTTTGTAAGGTGTATCTCTGATTGGTTTTTCTAATGCCTACTTTGCATGCCTTAATTGATTTGACTTACATGTACGTGATTTAGAGTTTTTCTTGGTTATTAAGAGTTGAAAGTCGTACTCACACCTATCCTTTATCTTACAAACTCTAGCTTTAGCGAGTCTAAGGAGAAAACATCAAGGGTTTAGGAATCCGTGATTCCTATTGTTAGCCTCTTTCTTTTGTTTTTAATATATGTAATTAAATGACGATGTATTGTCAAACTTAGGGCGATTATATTTAGGTTTACTTGGACCCATGTATCTTAATTGTGATTGACGTTGTATTTAGTACCTTAGCTTTGTGTATTTGTTGTTTGTGTATGTTTACTTTTGATTGATGAAAGAGGATTAAATAATGTGGTTATGACCTTTTTTGCCTCCCCCGTAGTTTTTGCTGAAATTAGGGTTGAGTAATTAAATTGTAATGTGTGATATTTGTATGTGATGGTGCATTGTATAGGTTATTCTAAATCTTAGAAACCTAGTCTAGGTGATCGTTTAGACTTTTGGCTCTTGGGGTTTTTGACACTTTGGACAAGTTCAATTGTGAAATAAAACCAATATCAAGTCAGGCCACTCAAGCATTAAAAAAAGAAGAAAATGAAGGGTTAGTGTTGCTATGCCACACACCGTGGTGTAGAGTATATCCACCATGGCACACAAACACTTCAGATGTGAGATTTAGGACATCTATGTGCCCATGCACCACGGTGCATGGTCATTTTCTGCAAAATTAAGTAGCGAACTAAGACAAAAATAAAGAAGAGAAAAAGGAGAAAACGAAGAGGTGTGTCAAGCTCTGCTAGGGTTTGTTCTTGGACGACATTGGGAGTGTTTTGGAAGTTACAAACTATCATGCCTCTTAATCTCCCATTTTCTTCCACATTATCAAGTTTATAGTTAGGGTTTAATAATGGAAGATTATTTTAGGTCTATATAGATTATGAGCCTAAATTTATTGACTCAAATAGAGTTAATGGGAGTAGATTAGAGTATCTAAATTTATGTATAATGAATTTTCATGTCTTAGGTGGTTGGGCTTCATAAATATGCAAAAATTTCATTAATGTGGGTTGTTGGAAGAGTGTGATGTCATTAATGAAGGTTTAATGACCCATTAATGTTAATGGGGACTAAAGATAGTTAATAAATCCAATGGATAGGCTCAAACCCATATAAAGTGGGTATTGGGCAATTTAGAAATGGAGAAATGATAGTTGAATGCTTGGGTTTAGCAATATTAATGGAGATTAATTTGGTAAATTGTAGATTAAGCTCTTGGACATCTAATTGGCTTGAAAATTCAAGCTTGGAAGCTATTATATTGAGGGGTAAGCTTTTGACCTCTCAAAGGTTTTAGGTAACTGGAAAAATTTTACTTTAGGTAGTTATATGTTAATTGTGATGTGAATTGTGTGTTTATCATGTCAATTTCAACTTGTGAAATTGGATTACATGCATTGAAACTTGGTGTCAATGTAAATTGTGTGATATGTATTAAACATGCGAAAGTAGTTGTAAAATGAGTTTTGATGCAGTAAATATGGTGTTCAAAAAGAATTTCTCTTTACAATGTGTTGTGAATGAGTGATTGATGATGAATATAATAAAGAGCAATATAAGAGATTAAAAGTGATGTGTTTTTGTGTTATAAGTGAAAATGAGGATTTATGCCCACTTGGGTAGCATTTAAATGTGATGTGATATGTGTATTCCTTAACATCATATTGAGGTGTCACCCTTTTTCCTTAACATTTTTCAGGCTTTAGCTTTGGTGCTGAGAGGGAAAAAGCTATTGAGGCCCGGTAATTTGTGTATTCCTTTAGTATGCCTCTTGTATCTATTTATTTTGTGTAATAAAATATGATTGTCAATTCTAGGTTGCATGCCATTACACTTACACTATTTTATTGTTGCAAATATCTGAGTTGCATTTTAGGCTTTAAGTATTTGTGTATGATGATATATATGTGTTAATAGGATCAAAATACTAGTATAAATGTAGAAATGATATTTTGAACATGTTTTGTTTGGGTTTGATGCAATGCAATGAAAATTGTCTCCCCCTTCTGTTTTTGGTAAAAAAGAGATTGAGGAGTGATTTGTGTTATACGAATATTTAAGTCCATGTGACATGTTGTACTGATAGTCTTAGGTTCAATAGAAGTGGTCTAGGTGTTAGGAAAGGTTTTTGGCACTTGTGGGTTTTGAGCACACTTTTTATGTGAAAGTTGTAAAAGTGGTAAAAATGTGTTTGAGTGTTTAATTTTCTGGTGTAACTTGTTTTGAAAGTGAAACCCATGTCATTAACTAGTGTATGGAAAGAGCTTTCCGTGGACACCTAAATCACGTCATTTGGATGTCGAACAGAGAATTGGAACGCGTCGGAAGTTCCCTGATTCTTTTGTCAAATGCAACACGCCACAGCGCAGTTTGCACAAGCTGTGGCTCATTGCCCTATTCTACAGCAAATGAGTTGTTCTTCAATTGTTTTCATTCTTTTTCACTCCTCTAAGGTATCACATGCTTTCGTAACTTGTTTTTACTTTGATATAAGAGATTATGATTAATTTAAATTTATTTTAATTAAGAAAATTTGAGATCTCTTGATTTTAAGTTAAAACTTGGTATTCGCCTTTATGGGTCAATTATTTGATTACCATGAGTTTGATTATTTGTGATTAGTAGAGCGAAATTTTACAATGATCACACTCTCACCCTCATAGGAAGCCATTAGGTGGCATGTATGTATCTAAGCAATCTTAGTCCTGTAGCTGGGGTTAGGATAGGTTTGGTACTATTTTATGGCACCCGAGTGTTCAAAAAAGGGAAGGTCATGGTTCAATTTAGAGCTTTGGGTCTTTGGCATAGCCACATGGGTTTGTTTGTTCCTTTGTTAAGTCCACATAGCTATGACTTTGGTCTATTGAAACATTTTTTTATTGAATTGCGAAAATCCGGTAAGCTGAGTTGTTTTTTGGCCATGGATACTCCATAACCTTAAACGTGATTATTGAGACATCTCTTCTCTTTTCTTTCCCTAAAATTTTTCAAGGAACATAAGCAAAGTTACGAGAAAGGAATCAGCATCGAGAAACCACGCTTTGTGAGAAGTATGGTTCCAAGTCGGACATTGTTGCTGCTTTGCATTGTTACTTGCCTTTTTACTTTGGAGATGGTTTAGCCTCCGGGCCCGTGGTTAGGATCTTGACTTTACTAGAGTGCAAGTTGTATTGATCTTGACATATTTCTTTATTGATTGATAGATGAAGAGCCGAGCTCACTTAGGATTTGCTTGCATTCATGTTAAAGTAGGCAAAGCCAAGCATAGGTTGAGTGATATAATTATTTTGAAAATTGCCTGCTATTTTGTATGATAGGGAATAATGCATGGATGTGTGCCTTTGAAATGTATTTAATCCTTTTCTATTATGATAGGCTTACGTTAGGGGTTCGTTCTGTTCCTTTCACGGTAAACGTGGAAATTTGATGTTGATTGTTAATATATACAATGCTTTTAGAGTAGCGTATATGATTGACTGAAAACTTTTATGCTATAATAGGGCTTATGATAGAAGAGTAGGCTTGCTTTTACATTATCATAGAAAATCTACCATGGTAGGTAGATCGTCTAAGTATCATAGTGCGGTTGTTTCATATCACATTTATGACACAAAATTGAAACTAATTGTAAGGACAAAACTGACCAATGGTGGTTGCAATTATTAGGAGGTGAAACTTATTTTTGTAAATGTTACGGATAGTGAAAATACAATGCTTCAATTTTGTACTGGAGAATGTAGAGGATGGGGTTTATTAATTCTTACTTTTAACAAATTATTGTCAGAATTAAAAAAGATTTCTACATTTGAATACAATTTATATTTATGATGATATTTTTCTTATCAGAGAGGAATTGGGGATCTTTTTGGTAGCAGGTAATGTTGATATGTACATTTAAGTACACATTATACTTATAACAAACGGATATATCAGGGATCTTTTAAATTTATGCTACAAGAGTTGTCATATATAATTAATTAAATATGGTTGATATATCTGATTTATTTATGCTATGAGCATGGTCACTGTTATAGTGAGTTATATACTGTATATGTTGGGCTTAGTATTGCAAGTATCTCTTTTAATTTGAATTATCATTTAATTGAGGTTAGAGATATTGAGTCATCGAACATGCCTCGAAAGTAAATTATCATTTAGTATCCATGTCGAAGTCAATCTTATCTAATAACCTTATGTGTTTATGTGATGCTTGATAATGATGATATGAAGATTGCTTTATGATTGTGAAAGCTACTTAGTTTATTTCCTGTGATAGACAAGTTCACTTCTACTCATCATTTATTAAAAATAGTGCTCTTTTGATTTCAGGAGATGATTGGAGGGTTTGGGGTTTAGAATTCATCCTTACATGTGGTAATTTTCCACATGATTAAAAATATTCATTTAGTTACATATACAGTTGCAGCCACAGTTAGGTGTTCATCATTTGCGACTTCCTAGATTTCTTTTTCATGTAATGGTTCAACTAATTTTGTTTAATGAAAGGATGGATTCTATAAGATTTAAATTTGATCCAGAATAAAAAAAGATCAATAATATATTTATTTTATAATGTCTAAATTTGATATCTCAATTACCATAATCAAAGAACAAGAAAGTGAAATTTAAAAGCCGCCCTCTTTTACATCGTTCAATTTCAAAGTAGTAACAAAAGATTCATCATTTTACTCGCACACACAAGTAATATTAGTTTCGGTGTGTTTCCAGCAATTGTGTTCCATGATGTTTTACTTATAATTATGTATTTTGGAATGAGGTTTGCTCGATTTTTTAGTTTGTTTTATGAATAAAATAAAGCATTCAGGTTTGAAATGATTTACTGTCTTTAATATATTAAATAAATTATTCAATCAAGGAATTGGGTTTGAAATAATTTATTTTTTTAGGAAAATCACATTCAAGGACATCTTAAGAGAATTATTCACAAAATAAAGATCAATATAAAATAGGATATTGTTAAAATGGTAATGGTGACTTGTTTTATGTTGGACGATGATTTATTATTAGTCTTTATCTGCTAATAATTCTCTTAGTAACTCTTTAGATGCTGTTCTCCCTAATTTTTTAAAGTTAAAGGTTATTTTTATTGCTCAATTTTATCCAAAAGTTACTAAGCACCTTAAATTTTATCAAGGGTCAATTATGTCCCTGAACAGGAGTTTAGCTATCTACACCATCTCTTTGCTTGAAAGATGCTTATGACATAAATGTGACATAAGGCATATAAAGGCGAGCATCTGTTTCAATGATATTCTAATTGTTAAATTAATTAAATTTTTTTTCTTGACAAGCAGACTTTGTGCCCTTGAACTTACCATCGTATGGGGCAAAATGGTTCCCTAGTAACTATACTGCAGTCATTATTAACAATTACTTTATTTGTGTGATTCAATGAATAATGGATGAAATTAGGTGTTGAAGATATATTGACGGTTAAGATTAAAAATATCCTAAATCAAATTAAATTTTGATCAAATAAGCTTGAACCTATATAATAAATTAAAAGTTTAAATTTAATTTAAAACCTTAGCTTGAACAAGGTTTAGAGGCCTAGCCTACTTTTACTCTTATTGCGGACTCATGTTGTACCTTGACTTTGATGGCAAATTTTGAATTAATATTTTCATGTAGATATTAAAAATAACACCTTTTTCTTCAATTTAATCATAGAGGGCATAACAAAACAAGGATATGTTAGAACTCACAAGTGGTTGATTCCATCTTAAGTGATGATTAAATCTTCAGAATTGTTAAGTTGTTAGTTGGAGCTTTTTAAAAAAAATAAAATCCAAAAGAGAGAATGACAGTTAAAGAACTCTTAAAAAGTTTAACATTGAATCAGAATTTTTTGTAAAGATTTTTAATGCTGAAATATAAGATTCTTCCTCTAATTTGATTTATAAGTCATTTTCAGTATTTTTATCATAATAATTAAAAAAATTTAAATTTTATTAACTATATCTAAAAATTTAATAGATTTTTAACTTTGCTTTTTTTTAAATATACATATATTAAAAATAAAACACTATAATATTTAATAATCTTTTATAATTGGCAAAATAATAAAGATAGACAAAATAATTATTGATGTATCTTACAAACAGGACCAAGATCCTATTAATAAGATCAGAGAATTATTGAATTTCAAAACTAAAATTATATAATGGGATTTTAATTTAACATTAATTTTTTATGAGGTCCTTCATTGCCATTCTCTATTTTTCTAACCTAACAAGTGGACTGTTCATGGACCCCAAAACTTTGAAACTCTTGTGTGGCTGCAGCTTTTGAAAACTTGGTGGGGCTAAAGAGCAGTTGGTGAACATTAATTGGGAGTTCAAAATTGACACATTAAATATCAATAGAAAAGTAAATAAATCCACAAGACTCGTATATGAATTGACATTCCAAGGCAGGCAAGAAGGACTCCACATTTCAGATCTAGAAAGCACCCCCCCCCCCAATATTTGAGATGGAAAAAGTAATTAGGATATTGAATGAGTGAGAGAATGTGCTTCTAAAAAGTATTTTTTAAAATAATTTAAATATAAATTTAAAAAATAACTTGATGAAAGATTTGAAAAATGAATTTAAAAAATAGAATGTTATTTGATGATACTATCTTTTTAATATATTTTTTATTTAAAAATTTTTGTTAATTTATATCATTTAAATAATAATTATTATTAGAGATCAATTTTTTAGTATTGCAGATTCAATAATTAATCATATTAATTTTTAACATTAATTTATATTCAACTATTTATATAATTTTTGTCCAATATATCAAATTTTATGTTTTATACTTTTTTATTTAATATTTTAAATGTTATGTTATTTATAATTTTTTTATTAACCAACAAAGGTTCATCAATTTGGTTAAAAAAATTTTGATTAAAAAAATTATCATAAATATTTTTTGAATCATGTTAATTTTCTATATTAATATATGTTGAACGATTTCCTATATAATTTTTTTAATTTTAAATATATCAAAATTTATATTTTTATCATTTAACATATCAAATTTTATGTTATTTAAAAATTTTATAATATTTGTTAAACATTTCAAATATATTACATTTATATAATAAAAATTATAAATCATCATACCTTAATATTTTTTTATTTTTATATATTTAAAAGTAAATTTTGCTATTATAATTTAAATAATTTTTAATTTATTAAATTAATTTTTAAAAAAGTATATTTAAATATAAATTTTATTATAATAATTTACTTTTATTAAATTGAATAATTTTTAATAAATTGAAAAACCATACAGGCACTGAAATTAACATCAATTATTTAGGATGTCAAATTTGATAAGGTAAATTTTCGAAGATCCACACATTCCCAAAGGGGCCCTAAATTCCAAAAGGCATCCTATTGATGTGACAATACTGATTTTTATCCAAACATGTGGGGTCCAACCTATAAAATTTTCTCAGTGATGGAGCCATCTTTCATTCCTTTTAGTGGGATGGGAAAACACAACCGTTGATGTTTATAATATTATTAATTTTTACTTTTATTTTTTATAATTTATTTCCAATCCTTATAATTTATGTAATTTATCAGGGACATGAGAAACAAGCATTATCTAATTTTATTGAAATTATAATAATTGAAAATATTTAAAAAAAAGCTACAATGATTAAAAATAAAGCTCAATAAAATTATAAAAATTAATGATTGTATTTTCTCATCAAAATTATTTGTGGGGTATATTTATCCCTTGTTCTGCAAAACACACATCTGCTGTTGAACTTAATTTTACAATGCATAAATTACTCTCTCACACACACACTCTCTCTTCTCTGTTTTAAATGTTTGTGGATGTCATAAGTAAACTTTGAAAGTGCATTACAGATATAAGTTGGTAAAAAAACAAAAAAGTACTTTATAGATATAAGAGAGAGTTGCATCTAAGGCCCCAAAATGAAAATAATCACGCACATAAAATCCAATATATTATGAACTATTTCTACAGGTCCAAAGATCACAAATGCAAATATGTTTATTTGTAAAAAGACGCATTTGGCTCAAATATACAAGTTTTTTTTTTTTTTGGTGTATGTACAACACAATATTATAAAGGATATGACAAGATTCATTATGAATAACACAATATTGATTTATTATACATAGTTTGTGTAGTTAAATTGAACAATAATGTATAAATTTTTTAGGTATATGTGCAATACAATGTCCATAAAAGACATGATAAAATTCATTTGTAAACAACACGAAGCTCATTAATTTATCATACATAGTTTGTGTGGTTAAGCTTAACAATATATAAGTTGCTCATATACATGTACAACACACTGTTCATTGAGAACATG